GGAGGAGGAGGAGGAGCAGGAGGAGCAGGAGGAGCTGGAGGAGGAGGAGGACGAGGATATCGGAGGATGAAGAGGAGGAGCTACTACGAGGAGATAGGAAGAGGAGGAGGAGGAAAAGGAGGAGGAGGAGGAGGAGGAGGAAGAGGGGCCCTGGCTTCATGTCAGCGGAACGAGTGGCCGCGGCCGCTTTCCTCGGGAGTTGGGCGCTCACCCCACAAAGCGTGGCCCAAACCTTGGGGGAGACCTCCTGGGAGGGTTCGCAACGCGCTGCGCGCCCGTGGCCAGCACGCTTGCCATTGCGGGGGACCGTCTCCACGCCCAGAGCCGCGGCCAGATCACCCGCCCCGACTGGGTGGCGTGTCTCGCAGAGCCGCAGCAGAAGAAGCAGAAGGAGTGGGCCGCGGCCTCGGGGGAGGCCGCCAGGACGGAGTTGCTCGCGAGCTTGGGCGAGGACGACCGGGTCGACCTGCGGTCGGCCGGCGGCCTGGGCGCCGTGGGCTTCCTGGAACAACCCGTTCACCGCGAGGGAATTGAGTCGGCACTCATGCCCGAGGACCATTTCCAGATGGCACTCGCGGACAGGCTCCGCATGCCCCTCTGCGCGCCTGGCACCACATGTCAGCACCGCCGGGCAAACGGGACAGTGCATGTGTGGTCAGCTCATGGACGCTCGCGCCAAGCACGCCCACAAGTGCCCCTGCGGTCCGGCCCGCAGCCGGCGGCATAATGGTGTCTGGGATTTCTGCAGCTCCTATCACCAGAAGACGACCGGCTTCACTTCGGTCACCGAGCAGCGCGTCTTGGCCTGGGACCGCGTGGACGCGACAGGGCTGCTGGAGGAGGCGAGATTGGACGTGGCCACTCGGGACGCCATCACGGGACAGCCGGTTTTCTTGGACGTTAGCGTGACCTGCGCACACAGCGACGACTTGTCGCGCCAACAGGCCCGCGCCGGCCGAGATGGTCTTGCGGCACCTGCGGTACCCGCCGCATGGAAGGGAGCTGGTCCCGGTCATCTTAGAGGCTGGCGGGCGGCCTGGTGAAGAGACAGTGGCCTGCGTCCGGTCCTGGGCGCACGACATGGCCCCGGCCCGCCGGACGGAGGTCATCCGCTTTGCGCGGCAACAGCTCAGCACGCATCTCCAGTCCGGGAACGCGGAGCTGCTGCTCAGCGCGCTGGGCCGGTGAAGGGCCGGCGGCCAAGGTGGCGCACCGCCGCCGAGGCGAACGGCCGCGGCTAGTACTGTTACCATTGCCACCACCAGCCGCACCACAGACGCCCCCACTAGCACTGCCGCACACTTTCCGCCACAACCACCACGACCTTGAGCCGGCCACAACCACGACTTGAGCCACTACCACGGCCGCAACTACACCGCGGCGGCTGCGACGACGCCCCCACCACGACCGCAGGCGCCAGCGACAGCAGCCACGGCTACCACGACTACCACGACTACCACGGCCACGGCCACGACCACGACAACGACCACCACGACAGCCAACAGCACGCCCACCAGCACGACCCCCGCGACCGCCGCCCGCCCTCTGTCCCCCCTCTCCCTCCTCCCTCTCTCTCCCTCCCCTGCCGGGCCGCCCTTGCCGCTGCGCCAGTCGCGCATTTTTCGGCCGTGTCGAGCGTGCGTGCAAGGGGTGGTGGCGGAAGTGGCCCCGACCAATGGGGATGCGCCACCCACCCCGTGCCGCAGGACCGCGTTTCGGACTCCGGCCCGACACGCCTAGCCCTGGTGGACACGCACCTCAAAGATAGGTGCGTGCCGGGGCTGCGGATCAGCGGAGGAGGAGGAGGAGGAGGAGGAGGAGGAGGAGGAGGAGGAACGCTCAGATGACCAGTGGTCTGTTTCAAAAAAGCAGTGACCTCCCGTTGTGGGAGGGATGGGAAGTGGGCCTCAAACTAGGCCTTTCATGAGTTTCTTGCCCAGAAATTTCTGTCCCGCGGGAGTGCGCGGCTGCAACAAGTTTTGACTGCTGCGGGTGGCGTGGGACCCACAACTCAAGCACAAGAAAGTCCCTCTCTGTGTGACCACCATCTCGTGAATCGGGCGCACAAAAGAGGCCCCGACGAAGGCACCGCGCACAGATTTCACGGGGGAGAAGGGGGAGGAGGAGAAGGAAGAGGGGAAGGAGGAGCAGGAGGAGCAGGAGGAGCAAGAGCAGGAGGAGGAGGAGGAGGAAGAGGAAGCGGGGGGGAGGAGCAGGAGGAGGAGGAGGAGGACGACGGAGAGGAGGAGGAAAGGAGGAGTAGGATGAACAAGGACATCGGAGCAGGAGGAGGAGCAGGATGGGCAGAGGAGAGGGTGAAGGATCAGAGGGAGCATTAACAGGAGGAGAGCAGGACAGGATGGGAGGAGGAGGAGGAGGAGGAGGAGGAGGAGGAGGAGGAGGAGGATGAGGAGGAGGAGGCAGAAGAAGAAAACCAGTTGGGAAAGGAGGAGGAGGAGGAGGAGGAGAAGGAGGAGGAGGAGGAACAGTAGGAGGAGCAGGGAGGGCAAGAAGAGGAGGAGGAGGGGCAGGGACAGGGGGCGCAAGGGGCGGGGAAGGGGTCGGAGAGGCGCCTGGCCGCTCTCCCAAAAGGGGCCCGGGCGCCCCCCCCTCCCGAGAGCCAGGTGCGTGTCGTGCACCAGCCAGGAGGGCTACCAGCTGGCCGTGCGGCTGGTCGAGGATTCCGCGGGGCGCCTGGGGCCGCCGGCCGGGCCACGGACGCCTCGGCACCACAGCGCGCCGCTCACATCTCTCCTGCGCTGTCCTCACACCGCCGTGCTGGCGCGGACGCGGCGACCACGAGTTCGCACCGTGAGGCTTGAAACGCGAGAAGGGTTGCGCCGAAGGGGGCACGGCATCAGCAGGCCTGCTGCGGGAGCCGCATTGCGGGGCCGCCCACGAGGCAGGAGGCATGTGAGGTGCGTCCGTGCGTGTGTGCATGGTGCCTCTGCACGTCCCTATTTTCACGCACGTTGGGTGCGGCCCTCTGTTTCTTTGCAAGCGTCGGCCGCGTCCTGGCCATCCACCAGCAGAAGCTTGGTGGTGATTGATCTCGGCATGTCCCGCCCTAGAACCCGCTGCGTTGAACCAACCGGCCGATGACGAAAAAACTGTGGGCGTGATGTGTGTGGTGCGTGTGTCGAAACAGACGCGGCGACCGCCAGCCTGCTGCGGTAGCAGCAGCAGCAACAGCAGCAGCAGCAATAGCAGCAGCAGCAGCAGCAGCAGCAGCAGCAGCAGCAGCAGCAGCGGCAGCAGCGGCTGGCAGCGCAGCGGCACCAGAAGCGGCGCCAGCATCAGCAGTTCCTGGCAGTGGCAGCAGAGGCAGGGCATCAGCAGCAGCAGCAGCAGCAGCAGCAGCAGCAGCACGCAGCAGGCATCGCAGCAGGCATCGCAGCAGCAGCAATAGCAGGAAGGGGAGGAGGGGGTGCGGAGTGGGAAGGAGTCTCCCAGCAGCCGCCTCCGGCCACGCCATGGCGCCACCGCGCGAAAGACCGCCTGCGATTCGATGCGATGCGATGCGGTTGGATTCGCGGACTGGACTGGGACCGCGGTTACGAATTCGATCCGGTTCGGCCTGGTTCACCAGCATCAGCTGGGGCCAGCCGGGGCTGGGGCTATCACCAGTCGAGTCTGAAGCCCAGCCCGTGCCCTCGACAGTTTCGAAATACCTTGTCCCATTGAAGTTCAGACCGTCTCTTGATTCGGAGGCGGTGCTCCTTATGTTTTCTGTCTGCGTGTCTTGGTTGTCCTTGGCAAGTCCCTGGTGGTGTTGCGAGCGGGCCTCGTTGTGGCTCGAGCAGTTAGGCGTCGGAAGTCATGTCAGCCTTTGCGCGCATTGTTCCTCCGGTGCCGCCCAGCGGAGGATCGACTGGGGGGTTCTTTTGAATTGCACACAGAGTTGGTGAAGAAATAAACGAAAACCCCTTCCAAGAGAGTATGATTTATCATACTCGCTTTTCGGAGACGAATCTACATGTATGTATGTGTATATATTACATATTCGTTGTGGACAGACACGTATCCGTCAACATGTTACACACATGTGTGTTGTTTTTTGTTCAAACGTACACATTCTAGTTAAGTGGGGCAGAAAGCCCGTCTTCAGCTGGACGCCGTCGTGGGGTCGGGGAACCTCGTCGCTACGGCAGGGCGCACGGCCTCAAGGGCAGCGAACTCCACCGGGGAGGTGGACAAAGCCGTAATTGACTGGCGAGTGATCGGCGCGGAGATACTCGAAAGTTTCACGCGCACGCGGAGCCAGGAGCGAGTGCGCGGGCTGCGCGGCGCCACTGCAGGCGTGCTCCCCGTGGGGATGCACGGAGACATGGACGGTAATGCGTGGAGCCTCCGATTTCACTGGTCAGGCTTGGCGAGGCGGTTCGATTGAGATTTGCTTCGGGGCGATCTGCTGGTGATCCGATCCGTTCCCGATCCGATCCGAGGTCGCGACTCGATCTGGCTCAGGCCTGGCGGGGCCTGCGCGGGGCGCATGGGCCCTCGTTGCTGCCTCGCCCTGGCGGCGCTGAGCTGCGCCGCGAGCGACTCGCCGGGGGAGTGCTGGAGGCGGGAGCAGCTCCTCTCCCGCCGCCTGCTCTGCTGCCCACGTCGGAATGCGGGCGGCGCGGACCAGCCTCCGGACCGCACCAGCCTGCACACACACATCCCTACGTAGCTCTCCATTGCTGGAGCCGTCTCAATCTCGGTGCCGTTCCCAGGGAACCCAGCAATCCCTGAGGGCACGCCCCCGAGGTTGCCATCGCCTTGGGCGTGTCGAGCGCAGGGTCAGAGATGAGGTCCCTGACATCTGCCGGTACGATTTCTTCTCGATGCGGCCCCTGAGGTCCCGACCCCCTTTTCAGGGGCAGCTCTTCATCCTGGATCCGTTTTCGATCGTCCCGGGGCCCAATGACGCGCCCCAGGGGGCGAAATCGAGAAACAAACGCCAGGACAGCAAAGAAAAACATCGTCGGAGGTCCAGGGATGTCGGGCGACGAAGTCTACGCATTTCCACTGTTCCCTGGCAGGGCCCTTCCCAGGCCCGGGAGCTGTACTGCATACGCCCTCCTGGCCAAGCCAGGAGGGCGTGGCGTGTACATTGCTGCTGGGTTTAGCATGGGCCTGGCCAGGAGCAGTGGATATGTCTAGACTTCGTCGCCCTACATGGACTCGTCAAACATAAATTGACGGCTTGCTGTTTTCGGCGCTCGCGCGGTCGGCGCTACTTCAATTTTGGCCTGAAGTGATTGGCCCGCATGCAGGGGTGTCCGAAATCCGTCAGTGCCCTCATAGCATTAGCATTGAAGCACGCGTTGTGTGACAAGTGCCCGAACTAGCGGGCGCTTCGATTTTTAACGGCGTCTCAATGTATTTTTCACGAGGCTTGTGGGACAGGGGTGAGGTCGAGGCTGGTCAGGACTGCTGGCGCTCGGGACTGGCGCGCGGGAGCCCAGATGAGTGCTGCGCCGGGGCCGAGGGCGCGGAGGCCGCCCTGGACGCGCGGGCCGCCGATGCCCTCTCCGCGCGCGGCGCGGGCCCCTGCAGCCTGGCCGGCGGGGGCGTGTGGCGCTTCGTGGAGGGGTGCTCGCCATGGGTCGAAGGAGGAAGAGCTGCATACTCTGAGTACCTCAATCGCTCTGGGGGCCCTTGTACTCTGGGGGGGGGGGCCCTTGTAGTCCGGGGGGGGGGGAGGCCCTTGTAGTCCTGGGGGGGGCCATGTAGTCCGGGGGGGGCCCGTGTAGTCCTGGGGGGGGGGCCGTGTAGTCCAGGAGGGAGCCCCCAGTGGCGCCTCCGGCGCCGCACTTTGCGCGCTCCGCGCGCCCGCGAGGGGGTTCGAGCGCCGATCCCCAAAAATCCGATCCGAGTTCCAAAAGCTGTATTTTCCGGGCGGAGCGGACCGAGACTTCCGACGATCTGATTTGTTCAGGGAAGCGCCTTGTTAGGTACCTTCGGGCGCGTAAATGGAGCGCTCTGGCAGGTAGTTTCGGAAGAGTCAGGGAAGCATACTTGCAGGCTCTGTCGGGCTGCCGAACCAGAGGTTTTTACTCGATTTCGGCTCAGGGAGACGTTGTCGAGCCCCAGGACAAGCAAAAATGCATCCAGGACGAAATGCTGCTCCCGAGGAAGGTGTGGGAGATCTGGGGCCCGGATTGTCAAGTTCAGATCAGCTGATGCTTGGGAACGGGTCCTGACAGAAAGGGGTCCTCAGGTTTTTCGCCGTTTGGGGGCTTCCCTGGGCCCCGCACGGGCCCCAGGAGATTGTTTTTGTTTTTCTTTCTGGCGCGGGTCGTGACCCGGGCCAGTCCACCCCCCCAGCAGCGGCAGCAACCATGATGCTTGGGCGGGGGGGCGGGCCTGGACCACCCCCACGTGTTGGTGCCCGAAGGCTTGCTGTGCTGGTCACAGGGGCTCCCCAGGCGCCCTGCCCGTGCTCGCAGGAGCCCTGCCGGTGCTCTCGGGCTATTGCGTGGGTGATCGAATCGCTGGCTCCGGCTTGTGCTCGCAGGCATAGCGCGGTGCTCGCGCGCGCACTGGCGATCACCGCGCACCCCCGCCCCGACGTGCCCCACCCGACCCAAGCGTGAATTACCGACCATTGCCTGCCCCCTCCCCAGGTAACGATCGCAGCGCTTAAATATGGAAAAACATATGGGGGCGTTCCAAACAGGGCCTCGGCTTCGAGGGGGAGTCGTCATCGCTCCCGAGGCGGAAGGCGGCGGAAGGGGTGTGGAAGGTGGTGGAAGTGAAACGAGGCCGCTTTCGCCGGCGGAAGGCTGGCGGAAGGCGGCGGAAGTAAAAGATGCGCCCCCGAGAGATGAACACGTTTTTGTTTGCTCAGGGGTTCCGACATCGCCCATAGTCCAGGACAGGCAGGAAATTGCCCAGGATTCAGAGCTGCTCCAGATGACAAATCCTTCGGGACCCCCTCCCTTCCTGCCCAGGTTCGCCGAGCGCGTCACTTGGGAGGGCCGGCTGTTCCCCGCGGTGGGCTTCGGCGACGAGGATCACACGAGGAACATATCACAAGATCAGAGAACTACCGCTGCCGCTGCTCTTCCTGGAGGGTCCTCGTCACATTTGGCTGCGTAATGCTCGTAACCCTGGCCAGAACTCACCCCACGGAGCAGTCCGAGGAGTGCGGTCGGGAACTTTGGCTTAGCGCTTCGCGCCGCCAGTTCTGGCCCACCGCGCTTCGGCGCAGCACGCTATCCACGTCGCGGTCCCCAAGCGCCAACGTTCCGATCCTTTCCCGGTCCCTCGCCCTGCGGCGTGCAGCGACACGCTGTCCACTCGCGTGGCATGGCGTGTCGCTGGGGTCGCCGCCGCGTCACGCTGAGCAGTAATTCCCCACCGTAGCGGCATCGGTACCTTCTCGGGCTGGTGACTGAAATGGGGGGGGAAGAAAAGAGCCTCAGATGAGGCCTTCGGGCCACCTTTTGGGCCCCTGCTGGCTCCAAACGGAGCCTTAAAGAGCTCCTTTAGGGCCCTTTTCTTCACCCCCCGTTCAGGTCACCCCCAATACCACCCGCCCGACCTTCCTGCTTCCCCGGAGGACGCCGACCGTATCCTCGAGGATGAGGAGGCGGTCTACCTGGCGTGCCCTGCCGCTCTGTTGCTGGCGCTGTTGGCGCGCGTCGCCCGCGCCACCGTCGCCGCGGCGGGCGGAGCCGGCGGCGCCGAGCGCCAGAGGTGTCGTGGCTCACATACCAGCACGAACGCTATCGGTACGCAAAGAATGGGTTACGGTGCCCAACAGCAGTTTTTGTTCATTTTGATCCAGACTCGCTTTCGGTGTCGCCGCGGACGTTGTCCGTTTGAGACAGAAGGTTGCCTTCCTAACAGCGGCCGCTGTCGATTTTTGACAACATTCGGTGTTGGGCGTCGTGCCCGTTTTCCCCGTGCCCAGTTCGGGCGTCCAAAAAGGCAGCCCAGAACCCTTCGAGTCGCGGAAAAATCGCGACGGAAGGTGCTTCGCCATGTTCGGCCTCTGGGGGCCCAGCCTCGGGACCGTCAACAAAACGACTCGGGAGGAATGACGGGTCCCAGGGAGTGGGTCGAGACTTTTGGAGGTCGACGTTCTGAAAAAGTCCTGGCCTCGGGGGTCTGGGAACGGGGGTCAGCACTGACGGGGTTCAGCCAGCACCCTCTGGCTGACCCAGGTTTGGGAGCCACGTGGGGCCGATTCCCCCTTTCCGCCCTCCGCTGGTCCTGGCCTGGGGGCTACGAAGGCGGCTGGCCGGGCTTCGCGTCAGGGCCCTGGCCGACCTTGGTTTGGGCTGACCTGGGGCCGTGCGTGCACGGAGGTGGGAGGAGGCTTTCGTGGCGTGGGACAACCTGCCTTGGACGGAGCCGCTCGCCTGGCAGAACCTGCAGGACCTGAAGGGAGGAAGGGGCACCAATGATATCGCCACCCTTCCTCGCCTTCGCCTGCGGGGGCCTCCTACAAGCCGGCCCTCGTCGCCACGGCCGGATTCGCCCCGAAAGATTCTGAACAGAAGGCGCCCTTGGAGAGGTCCGGAGTGCGGTCAGGACTGTGTGGCTTGGCGCGGCGCGCCGCCAGTTCCGGCCCACCGCGCTTCCGCGCAGCACGCCATCCACGCCGCGGTCCCCGAGCGCCAACGTCCCGACCCGTTCCTGGCCGCCCGCCCCTCCTCTTCCCAGGAGTTGGCGGGATCGGTATCGTTCGGTGCCCCCAGGACCCGTTGGTGCGCCATGCGCTCCAGGCCGGGGTCCTCCAGTTCAAGGTGCTGCAGGGGCTCGTGGGCCGCCCCGCGGAGATCTGCGCCAGGTTCGCGGCGGGCGTCGCGCAGCTCGTCTCCAGCGGTGCGGGCATCTCCCTGACCGTGGCTGGGGGGGATGCAGAGAATCTGCGCGAGTACGGCTCGCACGCGCACGCGGCTGGGGAGCCAACACGAGGCGCCTGACCCGAACCATTGCTTGAACCTTCGCGATGACAGGCTTCAGTTCAGGACCGAAAGAACAACGTGCACTGTCTTGAATCCACGTTGGTTCCGGAAGTGCGCATTGCGGGAACGTTAATGTCACGAGACTGGGGAGTCGTATTCATGTGCGTGGTTGGGCGCGTGCGTCCTTTGTGGGCTCCAAAGCCTGATACAAAAAACCTTTCTACTACGACAGGCATGCTGGCCACATGCGCCTTGCCTCCTCACCCCTCTCCCCCCCTCCCCCTGTGGCGCCAGCGACCTCCTGTGGATTTAGGCATGGTGTGCCGATCTTCGCCGCCCCCCCCCCGTGCCGCAGAAGGGGGCGGGGCGAGGCGGGCGCCCTTCTTAGAAGGCATAGGGGGCCTATTGGAAACCCTCCCAAGGAGAGGGGGAGGAGGAGGAGGAGGAGGAGGAGGAGGAGGAGGAGGAGGAGGAGGAGGAGGAGGAGGAGGAGAAAGAGAGTAGGAGGAGGGGACGAGGAACGCGGCAGCGTCTGAAGACACTCATGCCATTAGGAACAAGGAAGAGGAGGAGGAGGAGGAGGAGGAGGAGGAGGAGGAGGAGGAGAGATGAGGAGAGATGAGGATGGATGTCGATGAACAGGATGAGGACGCTATCGGGGGGCGCAATGTACATGACTAGACTGATCCTGCGCCCACGATCGGCCCAGCCAGGATCGGTCTGGACGTATACGTGGTGCCCTCCTACAACCAGCTGGGATGTTTGCTACCGTGTGAACGTTCGTTCAGGAATGTGCCAAGGAGGCTTCATACCCTGGAGGGTCTTCATCTGATCTTATCTGATCAGGTCGGCGGTGATGCCCATGGCCAAGCCTCACTTGGCGGTCCACCGACCTTCAGACCCTGGACTCCTTATCCGGACCCTTGGCGGCGTGCGGACGAGGCCCCCGCTGCCCAGGAGCACTGAGCAGCCGGCGGTGCTCCCGTGGGTTCTTGCCTGCATGAGTTTTCGAAGTATTGTTCCTTTATGGTTGTGTCGGCAATATGCCCTCACCGTAGTGAAACAATCGAACAGTCAGGTCGTCTGCGTGGTTGATGCCAGTTATGCCAGGAGACACCCCAAAACGCATTGGGTGTTGTTTCCACTGTCGTTAGAGCTGATGCGACGCATCGCTCGCGCACGCGCGCGCCACTTGAGCCAAACAGGCTAAGGTCGCAACGAGGAACAGAACATGACGTGTGTTCCCCAGAACGGCCGCACTACGTCGGCATGCTCGTCTAGTGTTTCACTTGCAACAGTACACGAGGCAAACCAAACTAGACATCGGCCTGCCCACGGGTGCCCCGCGGAAATGTCTTATCCCTCGATGGCCCCAGGTGCCCACCGATGAAGCTCTGGGGCACCTCAAGACCCTCAAGGACCGACGACGACCGTGCCCTGAGATCTCCTAACAGCATGACGTCCTCCTGCATGTGCCTGCTGCAGGGGAAGGCGCTTCCTTTCGGCTCCCCCAGCGGCGCTCGTGATCGCGGCAAGCGGCGAGCTGCTCGAGGGCGCGGCCGGTTGCGAGTACGCGCGCGTCCTTGCGCACGCGCTCACGGCACGGCGGTTTCTGGACCTGCGCCGGGTGCTGGGCGAGAGGCACCTCCAGGCCGCGGCCGCCCTTGCGCGGCGCTACCCGCAGGTCGGAGGGCTCGGATCGGCGGCGAGCCCAGGGGGGGGGGGAAGCGAGAAGGGGCGGGCCGTGTCAGACGGCTCGGAAGTCCCCCAGCCTTCCGAGAAGTTCCCCCCCCCCAGACTTCCCCGAAGACGCAGAAAGCTGTCCAGAAGGCGCGAGGGCTTCTGGGAAGCCCCGCCGCCTTCTGAGAAGGCCTTCTCCTTTCTCACTTCCCCCCCTCGCTCGCCGCCGATCGGGGAAGCTTCGGGCTCGAGGCGGTCGGACTGCTCGTCGGTCCCCGGCGGTTTCCCAGCCTCGGGATGCCCTCCAGCAGCTGCGCCCCGCCGACTTGCCGAGAGCGTTCCGGGGGGTGCCCGGATCGTCCCTGACGGCCGCCGAAGGACCGAGAGTGATGGCCCAAGGATGACTGGGGACGGGGGCAGGCTGCGGGGAGCGCCCATTCGAACCAGCCTCTGGATGCTCTCTTCGGGCTCACCACAGCCAGCAGTACAACTCTCACAGCTCTCATCATAACTCCTACCACAGCTATGATTGATACCGTTCCTGCTGCTGCGGCTCTTGCAGCACTCTGACAAGTATTACTATAGCTCCAATTGCAACTCCTACTGCCACCAGTAGCACGGACTTCAGTGCAATTCCGAATACAGTTTCTCCTACAGTTTTTACTGCAGCTCGTGCTACATCGTCTCTTACAGCCAGTACTACAGCCCTCACATAATCTCGTATTCAAATCCCTGCTGCACCCGCAAGTACACCTCTCACTGCAACTATTTTGACAATTCCTGCAAGAGCTATGTGGGTCACGGCAGGAAGTCGCCCAACCTCAACCCAATTCTTACCTCTGCTCCTAAGACAGCTAATTGACATGCTTGATTGTGTATACAAGCGTGGGTATGACAGACATTCCAAAAGGCCAGTTCCAACACATATTCCACAACATCTACTAGCCAGCGTGGATCCCAAAGAGTGTGTTTCTAGGAGCCTGTGTGGTGCAACCTATGTGGTGCAATATGTGTAGTGTTAGCTATGTGGTGGATTCTGCTTGGTGCAACCGATGTGGTGCAAACTAGGTGGTGCAAGCTATGTGGTGCGATCAGCGTGGTGCAAGCTATATATATATGTCCTTTCTGTGGTGCAACTTTGCTTGTGGCACAATATATGTGATGCGAGCTACGTGGTGAAGTCTACGCAGTGCAAGTCACACTGCCGAGCTTGAAGTTGTCAAGTCCACTCCCCGCACAAATATCCCACCCACCCACCCGCAACTTGGTTTACAAACCCATGCGGCTCGATTGCGATGACTGCTCGGCGCTGGCTGGCGCATCGCCGCGGCCGTGCTAGCGCGCACGCTCGCGCGCAAAGCGGCCAGCTAGTTCGGGTCGACCGACGCGGTCGCCCTGGCGCTGACCGCTGGGCGTTTCCCAGAGGGCGCTTCAGTGCGAGTCGGCGGCTTGGGCGGGCGTGGTATTATGGCACCGTCGACAGAGGTAGACGCGATGATGTTAGTAGCGATACTAGTGACGAAGATGACAACGACGACGGCACGGCCATCTACGGCGCCGATGCTGATCTCGCCAGCGACGATGACGGCGTCCTCGCGTCGGGGAGCACAGTTTTGGAACGAGATCGACATGCCCGCGCGGCCGACGCACGAGAGTGGCCCGCATGGTATTGTTTGAGACGGATCGTGCCCCCTTTCCTACCCAGCGCGCGCGCAAGGCCGTTCGAAGGATTTCGACATGCGGCGCGAGAGGCCCGCATGGCATAACATAGTGGACGTATCCAGAAGCCGATGGTATTGTTACGATTTCGCAAGACCGCAAGCGCGGGCAGTTTTTGAAACGTGATGATGTTTCACAACGAATTTGATATGCTTACGGGACACTCGATTCTGAAATCGCTGTGACATTTCCGGTGTTTGACGGATGTCGGCATGCGCGTGCGTCGGCTCGCGGGTTCGCACTTTGTCCCATTGGTTCAAAGGCTTATTGCGGCAGCACGCGCGCAAGAGCGTTCTTGCGATTCCGACATGCGCGCGCGAGCGGCCCAGTTGGTAGCATGTTTTGAACATGTTGAAACACCTTTGTTTCTTTCTGTAAAAAGATCCCCAAGAGCCCGAGCTCAAATTTGTTTTGAACATGTGTTTGGGGAGCCATGTGTTTTTTTATATGTGTGTTGGGACACTCGGTTTTGAGATCGCTGCGATACTTCAACTGTTTGAAGGATTCCGGCATGCGCGCGCGACGACGCGCGCGTGCATTTCGTCCAACATGTTCAAGGGATTCTACCGACAGCACGCACGCAAGGGCGTTTTTGCGACTCCGACGCGCGAGCGACAGGCTCGTTCGGCACCTTGTTCTGAAAGTATTGAACATCCGATGATTTGCTGTTGGGCCAGGGCCAGAGCCTGAACGCGAACTGGTTTTGAAAATGCTTGCTGGGAACCATATTTCCCCCCATATCCACAGGATGGGGTTCATGCTCACCATATCCAAAGGATGGGGTTCTTATCGTTCTCTGACCGCGCTGGATCCCTCATCATCATCCCTCCCCCCTCCTTCCTCCCTCTCTGCGTTCGGCGATGATGATGAGTGTCATGCTGATGACCATGGTATAGTGAGAGCATGATGTGAGTATGATGGTGATGGTAAATGATGGATGGGTATGATGAGGATGAGGATGATGGTGATGATGATGCGGATGCTGATGATGATGATGATGATGATGATGATGATGATGATGATGATGATGATGATGATGATGATGATGACGATGAGCAGATGATGAGGACGTCTCGAGCGGCTTGCTGGTTTTAGCGCTCCTTAAGGGGGGCGCCAGGGGGTATCCCACGGCCTCCGTTCGCGCCAAAATAGCGGGGATGTCTCGAGCGGTTTGCCACTGTTTTGGTCGCGGGCACCCTTCGTTTTTGGAGCAGATGTTGAGGATGTTTCGTGCGAGACGCCTCCTAAGGGGGGGGCGCCAGGGGTATCTCACGGCCTCCGTTCGCGCCCAGATTGCGGGGGTGTCGCGGGCGGTTTGTTTGTTTTGGTTGCGATCATCTTTCGTGCTCGGAGCAGATTTGGAGGATGTCTCGAGCGAAGCGCTCATTTTCGCCGCCCAGGTGGGCCACATGCTGAGGGTGTCTCGATCGGTTTGCTTGTTTTGGTGGCCAGACTCGTGGGCACATATTCTCCCCAGGATGCCACAGGAGGCTCCAGCAGGCCCCAGGAGGCCACATGAGGTCCCCGCGGGCATCAGGAGGCCACAGGAAGACTCAAGAGGCCACAGGAAGTCACAAGGGGCTTCAGGAGGCCTCAGGAGGCCCCATAAGGCAACAGGAGGCCCCGAGAGGCCCCAGGAGCAGGAGGCCTCAGAAGGCAACAGGAGTGGCTCCAATCCCATGTGTTTTACGTATGCTTCTATAGATTGGGGATTGGGCCTCACTTGGAGCACGATTCTTTGATGGCATGCGTAGTTTTCTATATATATATATATATATATATATATATATATATATGTATTGT